TTGCGCTACTTGATTATAATAACTGACTCTCTCACAACACAAAAAAAAAACAGTTTTGATATCACTTTAAGATTTCCATTGCAACTTTTTTTATATGATTCGCCGAGCAAGTATTAATATCAAAAAAGCTGCATATCGAGTTGTAGTTTTCACACATATATTCAATTGGAGAATGCGATATTATGTTTGTTCGTGCTGCAGAGCAGTAAAATGTGAGATTCAGCCATGACTGAGGTCTTGGCACCCTAAAGTTCAGTTCTGACAGGAGCAAATGACAGACTACTTGGCTGTGCAGTAGTTTATGCAAAAAGGTTATTGAAGCACATATTCTCCTTTTTTCTAAAGAAATTAATTGAAAGTGATTGAGAAGACTATAGTGGTCAGAACCCACTTTCTATTTTAGTTCAGTATCAAAGACTTTGGTACCCCACAGCTGCTTCAGGGGCTGTATATGGACTTGATGATCCCAGTGTAAAGCCAATCCACTCGTGCCCTTCGAATTTCTCAGTTTTTCACGTCATTCTCAGACCAGTCTCGATGTCTCTTTTGGGATCGGCGCACCAAGCGAAGTCTGCTCGACTGTAAGAATAGTGATCCGCTTATTTTGTTGACGTCTCAAATCAATGTTCCTAGCCTGCAGTCTGAATTGGCCTCCTCCATCATCACATAATGTAAAGAAGAAAGATTCATGCAGCTGCTGGTGTGGTTTACATTGCTTCCGTTATTCCCAAACATTCAAGTTTTTGCACTGTGCTTGATTCGTTAATAGCGGTCTTTTGTTTCATCTTTGGTCATCAGATCACAGGTCACCAGATGCATAACCACCTGCTAGACCATCGCTACATATTATAAAACAAAGTCGCTTCCCGCTGTCTGTCCCTATGTATGCTTAGATTTTGAATACTATGCAATGGATTTTGATCCGGGCTTTTTAATAGATAGAATGATTTAAGAGGTAGGTTTTTGCAGGACTTTTCATGATGAGCGTTAATTAGCCGTTTCTGACAAACTATTTAACGGATCAACCTGAAAATTTCGCAGTATGCATAAATCAATATGACCTACACGTCTAAAATATTTCAGACGAAGCGGCGTTGTCGCTTCTACTATAAAGTAGCGGCTTCTTTGATTTTTCAAATGGAACACCCCGTATATAATATCATATTATGATTCATTATCACTTTGTCAACAAATTCATATACTATTTCCCTATACCTATCTATTACCGTTTAGAAGATATAAATTAATTTCGATATTTTTTTTACCAAACATGAACTTTTATAAATGCTGATAATCTTGAACTCTCTTGCACTAAAACGATCAAATTTGAAATG